CGGCCAAATTCCTCCCTTCTTTTCTTGGCCGAAACCCCCATCCCCCCTAACCCTAGGCTGGCCACTTCTTCCCTCCTTCCCCTCTCTCGGCGAGCACCACCACCCTCTTCCTCCTCCACCCACCGGCCATAAGCCCCACCTCCACCCAGCCTAATTCCCAATCACCCTAATTCCACCACCAACCCAAGCCGCTCCCCCCCTCTTTAATTTTCCTATTTCCTAAATTAGTTGATATTAATTTGAAAAGTTTTGAATTCAAATTTAAATAAATTTGAAATTCAAATCATTTCTTAAATTAATTAACCTATTTTAGGAAATTCCCTTCAATGTTGGATTGATTAAAATCTGAAATTAATTAGCAGTGATTGCCTCTCCACATTCAACAAATGTGGACACTTCTCTCACCTCTCTCTTGGCCGGCCCACCTTGCCCTCTTTTCTATCTAATTAATACATCCAATTAAACCTCCAATCAACCCATTAATGCTCCCATAACCAGCCGCCCCCTTTCTCCCTCTCTCCAATTGGTTTGTGACTTATTTAACATGCCACCCGGGCAAGGAAATTAACTCCAGGTTTTCCTCCAATGTTCACATATTTCCCCACAATATTCACCTAGTTCCCTTGCATCCAGAGAGCCGAAACCCTGAAATTTTCCTTTCTGAAATTGCTGTCCAGATTTCTGGACAGATTATGTGTGCTGTCCAGAATTCCCGAGCCTTTGAAAGCTGCTGTCCAGAGTTTTCCAAAGCCAATACCTGCTGTCCAGACCTTCGTAGTTGCTGTTAGGAAGTTTCAGCCTGCTGTCCAAAGACTCCAGCACAAGTTACTTTGCTGTCCATCATCCAGAACTTGTCAAAGTGCTGTCCAAAGACAGCTAGAAGGTTCGTGTTGCTGTCCACTCTTTATCAGCACCCAAAATGACCACTCTGGAGCTTCATATCTTCTTCTTTTGGGTAAACTCTTCCCCTTGCTCTTTTACCTACTTATTCACCCTTGATTGTGGCATCAAAAGGGTCATGAAGACTTTCTTTGCAAGCTAAATTAATTAAGAGTTGGGTAAGGGATCTCTTTCGTAGTGATTAATCTCGTTGTTAATTTAGGGATTTCTCGTTGAAAATCCTTCATGTTTGCTATGCTTGAATAATTGATTAATTTGTGAACTTAACTTATGTGACTTGGCTTAAGCTAGTTTCACACCTCTCATTTTCTTTCATTGTTTAAATCACTGCAATTTAGTAATTATTATTGCTCTCACATAAAAGCGTTCAATTTCTTGTTTAATATTGCCTAAGCATTTATGGACGCTTGAATTGTTAGAAACAATATTAATTAGATTTGTAGAGATTTAAACAATAAAGTAAAACAAGAGTGGGGTGAATTTAGTTTAGTCCAAATTAAACACGTGAAAGCTAAGACCATTTAAATAGCCATTAGATCAAACATAATATACATAGAAGAGCTTCAACAAAATCTTTTAGTTAACAATGAGATAAGTCACAATGAAAAGATCAACTCTCTCAACTTTCTAAATTACTAGGCTTTAGCGGAGGGAAATTAACAAGATCTTCATGAATCAAATAAGACCACAATTGAAGAATAAACTAGGAAGATGTAGGAGTGAGAGGAGAAGTTTACCCAAAGGAAAGAGGATGCAAAGCTCCGGTGTAGTCGTTTGAATGTTTGAGGAAGAGTGGGCAGTAACTGGAGTTGGCTGCAAATGCTGGACAGCAGTTTTTAGTTTTCTCAAACCCTTGGGCAACAATAAGGATCCCATCGGACAGCAAGGCAACAAGTAAAAAGATGTGGGAACTTCAGGACTGCACTTGATCTTCTTCGGGACAACAACTAGGGCGTCCGGACAGCAGTTACACCAAATCTGGGCAGCAGTTCTGGCAATGGAAAATTCTGGACAGTTTACCAAATCTGTCCAGAAATCTGGACAAAAATTTGGACAAGGAAATTTTAGGGTTTCGTCCCTTTAGATGTAAGGAAACTAGAGGATTGTTGTGGAGAATTATGTGACCAGCAGGGGAAGGAAATCTGGAGTTGATTCCCTTGTCTAGAGAGCATGCCAAATAAGTCTCGAATTAATTTGGAGAGGGAGGAAGGGGCTGGCTGATTATGAGAGCTTTGATGGGTTGATTGGAGGCTTAATTGGGTGTATTAATTGGATTGGAGAGAGGTTAGGGGGGTCGACCATGTTAGGGGATTAATGGGGATTTGATTGGGTAGCAATAGTGGAAATAATCTATTAGAGGAGAGAGGAGAGGGGGTTGATCAAAGAGGGGAAGAGAGAGGGTGTCTATGTTCAATGAATGTGGGGAATTGAATTAAATATGAATTGATTTCAGATTTGAATAGATTGGGGTGGTTTTCTAAGGTGGAGTAAGTTATTTAGGGAAAGAATTTGACATTCAAAATTATTTGATTTTGAATTCAAAGTCTTCATAAATAAATACCGTTATTTTAGGAAAGTAATAAAATTAGGATGTGGGGAATGACAAGGCTTGGTAGCCGGCGGCTATGGAGGATTGGGGGTTTGGGATATAGAAAAAAGGATTTAAAGAGACCCTCTTTCAAATTCAAATTCAAATTTGAATTTAATTGAATGATTGAATTTCCTAAATTAACTCCTTTATTTAGAAAAGAATATTTCATATTTTAATTACTCAAAATCTGAATTGAAACTTTCTAGAATAGTAGGAATCTATTTTAGGAAAGTAAAGGGGTTTTGAAATTTGGAGGGAAAAAGGAAGGTGAGAAGTTGGCTGACGGTTTGGGGTTGGGATGGGAGGCCGGTCGGTATTGGGGAGGTGGTGGGGTTTTGACCGAGAGGTGGAGAAAGGTGGAGTCGCTGGCTATTAAGGGAGGGGAGATGTTCGGTGGGTTGTGGGAAAGAAAGGGGAAGAAGGGAAGGAAGAGATAAGACCGCAAACCCAGACACTTCCTGCGGTTGGGGGGTGATGCATTGTCCTTCACCAAGGAACTTCACCAAAGCTCTCTCCAAATACATGGACGCAGAAATTTTTTTATAATATCATTCATTAACTTCAAAAGAGTAACAAGGGGCTTATGAATAGCCTCATACAATGAAAAGAAAATGAAAGACGAACTTGCCCCTAGGGAATATTAACGGCTAGGCCCTCAAGTGAGGGTAGAATCGGAAAAAAGTGCATAAATAAATCAAATACATAAAATGACTCAAAAATAGATCGGCGCGATCGTGGCTGTAGATCATCGGCCCGGCCTCTGGTACGCTTTCCAAGGCCTGATGTCCTCATCAATTTTAAGTCCTACATCAATATGTTTTTTGACTTTTCTAAAATTTAAATTTAAAAAATAGAACCAATTGAAAAATTGAAATTATATAACGTTTTCATCAATATGTGAATGCACCATCATTAGCTTTATCCCATCTAGGTGGGTTCAATTTTATGACACTTCATTCTCCATTTGCTCTTGTTGGGTGCTATATATTAACCTTATTTTGTGCATATCTTTTTACGCAACTTCTATCAATATGATTAATCTTCATTTACTTCATTTATAATTGTCATTAATTTTAGCTGCTTGTCTTCCCTTCATTCTTCATGCCTAAGCTAGCTTAGTCTATTTTTACAAACTTATCTTCCATTGATTCCGTTGTAACAATCTTGCTAAGATAATCATTTCTCAAGCCATTTTCCTTGTTTTGTTATGCATCAATCCTAACATTCTCATTTCTTCCATGCTCAACTTTTATTAATCACTTTTTAGTGCTCAATACTTAAATTAATACAATGTAGTCAAGTTGATTTATCTTATTTAAAAACTTACCTTCAAGTCTTCCTGACATTATCTTGCTGCATGAAACTCTTTAAAGACTTTTGTATATTTTTACCAACCGTCCTTATTGTATCCTCATCTATCTCTAATCTTTTGTACAATAGTTCCTAGATATACTTAAACTAATCACACATGATCATCTCTTTATATTCTAATAATATTAACTGATAAATATTAATATTACATACTAATCTTAAACCTCTTTTTTAAACATATTCTCCACTGCTTTTAGTTTTCACTTTTTTTTTTAACTAATGTTTCATTATTAGAATCGTCACTTGTGAAAGTATTTTTATGTTATTTCACTTTAAATAACTTTATAAATCTTTCCATAATCGATACAAAGGATTGTATTCTTAATTCTTATATCTGAACCCCTCTTTGAAAAAAATTCTATGATGGGCTTTGCTTTGTTTGCTCGTGGTTGTTCAGTATCTGTTACGAGGCAGCTCTAAGCACCTGTTTCGTTATCTTTCCTTGAGTAGGCTTTGATTATAATATTTTCTTATCTGTCAACAATACCTCATAAACAGTCATTTGAATATATTCTCCGAGTTGGCATCCTTAACCCTTTATTTTCATTGTTTCGTCTTTTCTTCTGTTTCGGTAGCCCAATTATTTCTTGTCAGAAGTGCTCATTGCGTACAGAATTAAGTCAAACATTTAAAGGCTAGAAAATAAGTATGATTTTATGTTGACCAATTGCTATTATGGATTTTGTTTAGTTTTGGTTGATGCTGTTCAAATCAAATGACAACTGAACTAAATCGAATGATTAAGAAACTATGAAATATGTGGGCCTTCTAGTAAGTCCTGTGATGCTGATGATGAAGTTGATTTGACGATTCCTAGTTTTTGCAGGAATGGAATAACCTAATCCATGATGCATTTTTAACGAACTTTTTTTCTAGTGGTGAAGGATATGAGGTCCAACCTTGGATGGAAATGTGTTAGAAAAAGTAGGTTCAAACATGCTATGCTGAATTTTTCTCATTGCCTTGGTTGAATTGGGAGACATGATTCTAGGTTTTCTAGTACAAGGTTCTTTGGCTTGATGCGATTTTGTTTGTCTTGTACACTAGGTATCCAAATAATTAGTTTTCATACATTTTTTTGGCATGCCTCAAGTTGGAAATCAATACTCATGTTTCTTCTTTTAATTCTTTTATTCAGGACTTGAGAGTGGGCGCCATTCCTCCTAAGTTCCTCTCTCCAGGTCATGCTGGTGGTTCAAGCATGCGACCAGGGAATGCAATGCCCAACACATATAGTCATGCTACCTTCCCAAATGCAAGTCCAGTGAGACCACCTCCAAGAAAGTTTGGAGCGCCAGATTCTCCAAATATCTCAGTTGATGCATATCGCCAGCGTCATGAAGTTACAGCATCGGTAACAGATCAAACATGTCATATTATCCACATTGAATGATATTTTCTTATAATTGACATATGCTTAACGACTGTATGTGGAATAATAATTTTTAAATATTCTTATTCTGTAAGAATTTATTTAGAACTTACAGATAATTTGCTTATATCTGTTGCTACGAGTAAAGTATGCATTGTTCTACTGATTTTTAGTGGTATGCTAGATAAATATGATGTTTAATTGTTGGAAAGAGGTATTAGCTTCTTTTCTTTAATATTCTGTTACACATTTTTTCTAGAAACATATTCATAAATAAAGTGTGCTGATACGGCTTTACATATTGATTACTTGTTGAATTAAACTTTCTTATGCTCATTTACTTGTGATTGTGGGAGATCTTGTCCCACTAATTTTTTTCCATTTAGGACAGTTATGAGAACATAGTAGCCTTACTCTTTATTGCGTTTCATGCCCTGTTAACTATGGTTGATTTATTCTTGTTCGATAAACTTGGATGCCTGAGCCCATCCTTCAGCATTGTTTTGAGCAACTTTTGTGGAAATTGCTGATTGTGGGATTAAAGTCATGGCTTCTGGAAATACTTTATAAGAAGTTTGACTCCAAATATTTTAAAAGTTTTGTAGATTTTCTGATAATGTTACTGTTACGCCTGGACCGGTCCCAGCTAGACCGGTCCGGTTCTACACCCGACGGACCAAAGTAGGGCGGAACCAGACCAAACGCGCGGAGCGGGAGTCGGCCCAGCGGGAGTCGGGGGGCCCAAACAGCGGCTAAAACGCATGGGGGAGGGAAATTTTTTGAATGAGAGGCTGTTTTAGGAAGTCCATTATTGTCCTTTATGATTAATTTATATAATTAGGATATACTTTCTTATGCTCATTTACTTGTGATTGTGGGAGATCTTGTCCCACTAATTTTTTTCCATTTAGGATAGTTATGAGAACATAGTAGCCTTACTCTTTATTACGTTTCATGCCCTGTTAACTATGGTTGTTTGATTTATTCTTGTTCGATAAACTTGGATGCCTGAGCCCATCCTTCAGCATTGTTTTGAGCAACTTTTGTGGAAATTGCTGATTGTGGGATTAAAGTCATGGCTTCTGGAAATACTTTATAAGAAGTTTGACTCCAAATATTTTAAAAGTTTTGTAGATTTTCTGATAATGTTACTGTTACGCCTGGACCGGTCCCAGCTAGACCGGTCCGGTTCTACACCCGACGGACCAAAGTCGGGCGGAACCAGAAGGAACGCGCGGAGCGGGAGTCGGTCCAGCGGGAGTCGGGGGGCCCAAACAGCGGCTAAAACGCATGGGGGAGGGAAAATTTTTGAATGAGAGGCTGTTTTAGGAAGTCCATTATTGTCCTTTATGATTAATTTGTATAATTAGGAGTTTTGGGGGGATTGGCTCCTCATCTTGAATTTTGAAATTTCATTTGAGATCTAGGTTTCGTTTTGGGCTCTTGGCATCGCCGGAGATTGTGGAGAGTACGTTCTTCCTCTCGGACCGAAGAACAATTGTATCTTGATTATCTTGCTTTGCACCTAGTGGAATACAAGTTTTTACTTGTGTTTTCTCTCAATTTCTCCCGTTTTCTTGCTGTTCTCTCGCTGTGGACAGCAGTTTTACAATTGGTTTTTACTGATTTGGGATAGGATTACTTGTGACATAAGTACTCCCTATCAGTTACCCAGTGGAAAGATGATACTATGTTCCAAGCTGTTTGGAATCGTCAAGCTTCTTTTTAAGTGTCTTTGTTGCTCGTTAGTCACTAATTCATGCCACCAGTGGGTTTTGATATCTTGTTTCATGCAACTTTTGTGTGTATTTTCTGAAATGATGTTCAGAGTTGTTCTGAAGTGCCTTTAAAGATTGATAATGAAAATACGCCCCGTTCTAGTTTTGGTTTCTCCTCGAATCATTGAGTATGTTTTAAAGTTTTGTTACTTTATGTATCTTAGTACGCACACTAGTTAGTACGAATGCTTGTTCTGTTGAATACACAAGTCGATACTTAACTGTATTTGGAGCATTTATCACTGAAATAACAACTAGGACTGATTTTATCAGATAAAACTGATGCAAAATAGGATGAAACTCATGGCCCACAAAAAAAAAAAAACCCGGAGGCATTAAATTTACATTTCTACTCTTCTTTTATTTATATGGATTGAAAGCAGAAATGAAGTTTTATAGTCATTTGAGACACTTCAACCAAATTTTCGGTCCCAGATATGGCTACAATATCATTTCCCATGAGAAAATGTAGCAAAATGATGAAGTTTATTTTATTATAGCTCTTGATCGTTTATTCCTGCATGTGTAATTAACATTCACGAGATATGCACTTGTTATATTATTGAATACCATAAATTTACTGTGAAATGTGCTGATTTTGCTCTTTGGAACAAATTTTCTAGGGAGACAATATTCCAGCCCCATTTATGACATTTGAAGCCACTGGATTCCCTCCAGAGATACTGAGAGAGGTATCTTTTCTGATTAATCTTTCTTAGAGTAGATTATTTGTTTATATTCTATGTTGAAGAGAGAGGGATTGGAGCAGTAATTAAGTTACCTATAATATAATTTGGAGATTGCTTTTTTCACGGAAACAGCCTTTTTAAATGTAACGGTACGATTGTTTACATCAACCCTCCCCATGTCTTTCATTTTCGGGAGCTCCATGTATCAGTTATATTCTTTATTTTATGTTGAAGAAAAAGATTGCTCAAATGATGTACTTTATCAGGCAAATGACAATATTTGGTTGGGAATTCTTATAGTTGAGCCTGCCACTCATTTAGAGCATCCCTTCTTGCGGCCATAACTTGCTCCAACGAGCAGCTAGTGACATGAAGTTTCCCTTTTGTATCTTTCATCGAAGAAGGGATATCATTGTCTTTTTTTTTTGCTATTATGCCTTTAATATATTTGTTGATGCTCTGAGTGATTGACCTTTACAATTTCAGATACATGCAGCTGGTTTCTTGTACCCCACACCAATACAAGCACAAACTTGGCCGGTTGCTTTGCAGAATAGAGACATAGTGGCCATTGCCAAAACTGGTTCTGGAAAGACGCTTGGCTATGTCATTCCTGCTCTAATACATCTTAGTAGATGCCGGAATAATCCCCAGCTTGGTCCTACCGTGTTGATATTGGCTCCAACTCGTGAGCTTGCAACACAGATACAAGAAGAAACTTTGAAGTTTGGTCGATCTTCACGAATTTCCTGCACAGTAAGCTCTGCAACGCAGATGTATCAAAATTACCGTGAAACCTGTTAATGAAGGATTCTGGAAATTTACATCTTGATGTAGTGATTAACTTGTTTATTGCTTATTACCACACATCCCCTGTTTTTTTCTGCGATAGCATCTTTATTTTCTTGACCTGTGATGATTTTCAGGGAACATAAAAGTTCCAGATAACCAATACGGCTAAAACTTATTTTAACCATCAATGTCTAAGATTCAATTTCTAATTTGGCACTAAGTTAACATTCATTAATTTCTCAGTGCCTCTATGGGGGTGCCCCAAAGGGCCCTCAGTTGAAGGATATTGAACGGGGTGTGGATATTGTTGTGGCAACACCTGGTCGGCTTAATGACATTATTGAAATGGGGAAGATAAACTTTCGGCAGATATCTTTTCTTGTGCTTGATGAAGCAGATAGAATGCTTGACATGGGTTTTGAACTTCAGATCCGTAAGATAGTTAATGAGATACCTCCACGAAGACAGACTCTGATGTATACTGCTACTTGGCCTATGGAAGTAAGGAAAATAGCTGGTGATCTGCTCGTAGATGCTGTGCAGGTTAACATTGGCAGCGTTGATGAGCTTGTTGCCAATAAGGCCATCACACAGGTGAACTAATGATATCATTTTAATGCTCTTTCTTATTTTAATTTAATTGTATGATAAGTGGTGCTATAATCCAGTAATTGGTTTGTTTGAAACTTTTAAAGGTATTGGTTTTGTACCCATGTTGAGTCAGTTTTCATTTACTGCATATGCTACCGTTCTCCTTGTTGGATCTTCTTGCTTATTAAATTTTCCTTTTTGAGGTTTAGTTGGATGAATCTTGATTTTGAAAAATATGCATCTGAATGGTATGCTTTTAAGTTGAGAAAACTTGTATATGTTTTTGTACTGCTTGTCCTCTTGAGTGATTTCTTAATATTTTAGCTTGGAGCAAAATCTTCACCCTGTTGCTTGAAGGGGGGAGGATCTATGTTTGTTTTTAGGGGATTTGCAGGCCGATGGCTTGACTTGCTCATCTGTCTTTCCTCTTGCCTCCGTCCACTTTCAATATTAAGCAGTTTAGACACTTCTGAATTTTTTTTTTGTTTCTTAAAGAATTCTTATTGTCAAGGTTCAACTAGGGATAAGCTTGAAACCTTTCTTGCCTGAAGCCTGAAGGGAACAATTAACCACTCTTCGACTGCCTTTTTATCTTATTTCCCTTCCTCTTTTTAAATGTCGCCTCAAACGTCTTTGACGTGAATATGTGCATTTTATGTGGTTCCAAGAAAATAATGTTTAAAACTCTCTCTCCCCTCTGTGGTTATCTTTACTGGTTCATTTGTGGTTAGTGCTAATAACCTCCGACAAATTTCTCACTGAACATTATGAGTGGTTGGGCTTGGTGTTTGCAGTACGTGGAAGTGTTGTCCCAAATGGACAAGCAGAGAAGGCTTGAACAAATTCTTAGAAGTCGGGAACGGGGATCCAAGGTCATCATCTTTTGCTCCACTAAAAAGCTCTGTGACCAGCTTGCCTACAGTATTGGCCGCCCCTTTGGTGCTATTGCCATTCACGGAGATAAGTCTCAGCAGGAAAGGGACAATGTTTTAAACCAATTTCGCACTGGAAGATTCCCAATTCTTGTTGCTACAGATGTTGCCGCCCGTGGACTCGACATTAAAGATATCAGGTTAAGTATTTTCTAATTTTGAGAAAAAAGATTGATCTATCAACGTTTTTATGCATGAATTATCTATGCTATTCCTGTAACCCAACAATGCTTTCTTATGATATGTGCTTATTTCAATTGCATCTGAAACAATTGAAACGACAAGTTGGGTGGCCTATCTTCTGTATGCACTGAAATCATTTCTCGTCTTCATCATATTTGTTTGATTTTCATAAATGCAGATTGTCAACCATCCAAAGTTTATTAGATGTGTTTGTTATTTGGAGTGTTTCATGATCAGTATCTCAAATAACCGAATTATTGTCTTCTTATAGTTGCTAATATTTAAAACATGCGACTTTCATGTATAATTGTGACTGCTCGTAATACTAATTATGAAAAGCCATCTTAAATCTGGTTAGTTTCTTCTTCATTTACTTCATCTTGCCATTTTTCCATCCTGGCCCGTGCACATGCATATTTGATAGCAGTTTAAAATAAGTTCCTACTTTGGGAGCTTTTGGCAGACTTAAACTTGGAGGCTTCAATAAACTTGTTGTTTGTTTTTATTTTTTCTCACAATTCCTCAAGAAAAGTTTTATACTTTTGTTTTTCATATTACTGTTTATTCTCTGAGCTGGATTATGGTTATTGAAATTCTCATCATTTAGAGTTCTACTGGTTCCACCTTTTATCAACTACTCTTTTGTGTTCCAGGGTAGTTATCAATTATGATTTCCCAAATGGGATCGAGGATTATGTCCACCGCATAGGTCGCACTGGCAGGGCTGGCGCTACAGGAGTATCATATACCTTCTTTACCGATCAAGATTGGAAGCATGCCCATGAACTAGTGAAGCTACTTGAGGGTGCAAACCAAGGCGTTCCGCCGGAAGTCCGAGAAATGGCTGTTCGTTCCGGCCCCCCTCCCCAAAGAATTCCCCAACATGGTGGAATGAACCGTTGGGATTCTAGCGGTAGCAATGGTGGAGTTCGAGCGGACCATAGTGGTGGTCGAGGCATGAGGGAATTTGGTCGTGGGGGTGGCAATGGTCGAGGATTTGGTGGACATGGTGGTCGGGGCGACTTCCATGTTGATGGGCGTGGGGGGAACAGGGGTCGTGGGTTTAGTAGGGGAGGTTGGGGTGGTAGGCATGACCGAGGCGGTCCACGTGATCGTTTTCAAAGCTCCGATGGCCGTGGTCATTATGAAGGTGGAAGAGGTAGGGGGAGATATGGAGATAGGATCAGAGACCGAAGTCACAGTCGCAGTCCTGAGAAAAGCAGAACTTGGAAATACAATCGGAGTAGGAGCTCCAGCCGCAGCCGTAGCCGGAGCAGGAGCAGAAGTAGGAGTTGGTCTCCTAGAAGCCCTAGTCGGAGTAGGAGCCCTAGTCCTAATAGGAGCTATCGACCTCTACCTGAGGGCCGTCGCCGTCGGGTATCTGGATTTGATGTTCCCTTGTCACAAGTTTCAGCAGGGGTTGGACTTCACGAGCCAGAGGCTCCAAATAGAATCTCAGGATTCGAGGCTCCCCCCTCATCAACTCCAGCAGCTGGTAATGTAGTTCCTGATTCAAAGCCCCAGATTTCTGGATTTGATCCACCCCTTGCAGGTCATCAGATGTCGCCGAGGTCAGCCGGACATGCCAATGGAACGTTCACAGGAGCTGAGATTGGTAATTAGTTGGCAATGACTTGTTTGTGTTGTGTTTGAACGATTTAAGTTAATATATGCTGCTTAATTTGTATGGCCTTTGATGAAATGAGAAGTAGATAAAAACTCCTCGCTCTGAAAGTGTACACTCACTACAAGAATGGAGTTGCAAAGTTTGGAACAGAAAGGCAGGTCTGAAAATTTTAATTTGGCGCTAGCTGAGGTTTCAGTCTGTCCATTCATACATTTTGTTTTAGATGTATTCTTTTTTTTTTCTTTTTTAATTTCTTTGTTTCTATTTTGATGTTAAGCTGATATTGGAATCCTGAGGATGGAGATGTTAAGGTTATCCCTTGCTAATATTGTACGATTATTACTCTTATAAACTTGTATTTTAGTGACAAATTAAGTTGCTGCTCCTTTTGCTGGTTGAGAAACTATCTTTTTTTCCATTATTACGATCTGTTTTTAGAAATTAAGGTTTTGTTTGGGATGGCTTTTGACCGTTGCATTTTTATTGTTTTTAAAACATTTGTACTAAAAAAATTACTTTAGAAAAAACAGTTTCTAAGGGAGTATCAAGGCTTTAAAATCATGATCAATACAGCCATCTCTATAACTTTTGTACGCTTGAACTTTTCTATCAAATCATAAATAATACGCATTGCTAAATGAATCAAATTTGGTTTAAAACTGCTAAATTTTAGATAACTCTCAAATATTTTTATTTGTTTTTACATGAGAAAAGTTTTTTTTTTTATTTTAAAATATATAATCTATTTACAAGTGATTGAAGAAGCACTTATTGTTGCCTTGGCTTCGCCTTGCTGTTGAGGATGAGAGGATTTTTGGAGCGTTTTATTTCAAAAAATCCAACCTTACATGAGCTATTATGACCTTGACAAACTTACAGTTCACAAGTTATTCGCGGATAATAGCTTTTCCCAAGGAGAAATATTATTTTGTGCGGATAACCGATGGCATTTGGAGATCAATCAGAATATGTCATGTCACTTTTTTGTTCGATGCCGGTGCTCGGTATTGCTAGGTACCCGATGATGTAGTGCATTTTGATTGATTTTTGGATCGTCCGGTATCTGCAAATAATAATTTCTATTTTAAAGGGGATGGATATACACTTTAATATAAAAATGATAATCTAATAATTATAACTTTGATACGTGAATCTTTAAGAATTTACCATCAAATCCATTCTTGGAATTTTGATTAGTCAATTCCATTGAGTTCTTATCATCGAGATGTTCAAGAAAGTATATGAATTTATTCGCTAATTAGAGACTTTTAAAATAGTGGTAGCAACAATCACTTGCTACTTAGGTTAATGATAATAATAAATACTTTGATATAATTTACATAAGAATTTGAATATCTACCTAAAATCTATAAATATACTCCAATCATGCTTGTTTAGGATGTTCTACATGTCTCTTGGTTCATATTGAATTTTAAATCTTTGATTGCCGCTTCAAATTCTAGTTGACTTTTCTTGGTGTCCTTAGATCTCTTATGTGTAAGAGTCTTAGGGTTGCATCAAACCTTTTGTAGAAGAAAACTATCAAACTTTTCCTAACGGGTTGGGTTCGGGTTGACCCGACGGGTTGCTGGGTCAACCCAGAAACCTGTTTAACTGTATGCCTGGCTGCCCGCCCCTGCCCACGCCCTGCCAGCATGCTACAACGTGAACTAGGATGCCCAGGCGCCCACACAGCTGCCCGTGAGGCTGCCAGTGCGCCCGCACGGTTGTCCCCGAGGATGCTCGCGCGGCTGCCCGAACGCCCTGGCCGCGTGCCCGTGATGCTGTCCGCGCTGCACCAGCCCTCGCGGCCTCTCCAGTCCGAGCCCGTGTCCGCGCCGAGTCCGAGTCCAAGTTCGCACCCGCGTTCGAGCCAGCTTCCAGTGTCGTGTCGGGTCAACCTGGGTTCAAATTTCCAACCTCTTTTCCCACTTGGATCGGGTTAGGGTCGACCCGTTTAAACCCGGGTCAGTTCCGGATTCGACCCGAACCCGACCAATGACCCAAAATTGACACCCCTAATCGGTATGTTCGAGAAAGTATATGAATTTATTCGCTAATTATAGACTTTAAAAATAGTGGTCGCAACTGCCACTTGCAACTTCGGTTAATGATATTAAGAAATATTTTGATGTAATTCACATAGGAATTTGAATAGCTACCTAAAATCCATAAGTATATTCCAATCATAGAGTCTTGGTTCATATTGAATTTTAAATCTTTGATTGCCGCTTCAAATTCTAGTTGACTTTTCTTGGTGTTCTTAGATCTCCTATGTGTAAGAGTCTTAGGGTTGCATCAAACCTTTTCTACACTATCAAACTTTTCCTCACCAAATATATTAGCAAGAGAGTACTGATTTTCAATCAAATAGAGATCGAGTTGTTATGGTTACTAACATATAACTACTCACATGTAGACCTTTCAAGATTTTAACGAGCATAAAATAATCTCCTTACATAGTGTGATGCTTGATGGTAGGGAACTTTTATTACGTTCGGTGCAAGGACGTAGAGGAACGTTCGGTCGGAGGCAATTTCCCGTCCAAAAACTAGGTATTTGCTCGGTACAACTAGGTATTATTTGATAATAATGAAGAATACCGTTCTTTGAAGACCAATACCGAGTTATACCGAGCTGTACCGAGAAATACCGAGTTGTACCGAGTTTTTATGGGAAAAACTCGGTACAACTTTGGTATAACTCGGTATTTGCTCGGTAAAGCCCGGTATAACTCGGTATTGGGTCTTCAAATGATGGTATTTTTCTTTATTGTTTGATATTGCTCGGTATTTGCTCGGTACAACTCGTTTTTTGGCGGGAATTTGCCTCAGACCGGACGTTCCTCTACGTCCGGTCGGAGGACGTAATAATTGTTCGATGGTAGGACCATGGCAAACTATTATAGTTTGTAATACATATAATGGGTTGAATGTGTGCAAGCATGGTAGTTAGAATGAAATGATCTGGAAGGTGATGAAATCTTCACTATATGGCACCTTATAGGTGCCTCGTTTAATAATACTTTGGAAAGTGTTATAAATTTTTTTTATAGAACATGATAACACCTGCTGCCACCCCCGAAACGGCGCTTGACAGCGTGACTAATCCCCGGCTATCCTAGAAGAGGCACCCACCCCAGAAACCTCCCTCACCAGAAACCTCATAGCCCACAGTTGATTGGGCTCCACTTAAGAGGACCTACATCTCGAAGGGAATTGAGCACGGGTTGTGGAGTACCCAACCAGACTCGCCCACCAACCAAGCTAAGTTTACAGTAATAATTTTACAATTAATTTTATAAAAAAGCTGCACCAGGTCTAAATAGATTGTAAGTCATATGCTAGCTAGCTAGCTTGTTCTTGGACTAACTAGTTAAAGTGTTATGCGGACCCTACTAAATTTGTTCAAACACTTATGAACTCGATATAACTCGCCAGATCTTGTCCTCGAAAGGTTCACGAGCAAGTTTTTGTTTATGGGAGTGGGGACCCTCATTTTACAATACTGCCATTGTCCCACTCAACGCCAAATTTGACTAATAGAATCACGAGATGAATCTATTTTTCAACAAAAAATTTATAAAAACCTTACATAAAATTTATCCTTAATTTCTTTCATAAAAATTGTGCTCATTATAGGTATTATTTAATGAGAAACATAATAATTGTAATAATAAAATAAATATATTTATCATCTATATTTTTATTATCACACACTCAAGAAAAAATTACCATGTAAGACACTCATTTATGATTTTGAAAAGTAAGAACAAATTTCTTAATATTCATTTTTCACGTATTTATATGTTAGGCTTTTTTTTTTTAGGGGTGTCAATATTTGACACGACAAGAAAATCAGACTCGAACTCTACCCAAAAATGTTGAGTAAGATCCGACCTGATTTCGAAACGGCTCGGGTTCAGGTCGACCTGGAAATCCGAACTCAACCCGGTTTAATCCGTTTAGAAAAAACGTGCGATGTCGAGTCGCGTCACCCTGCCTACAGCTGTCGAGTCACGTCACCCCGCCCTTAACAACAAAAATTTTGTTAGAGTTTATTATATTTGAATGATCCTTTCAACAATTTTTCCTTTATAAAATTTCTATTAATTTTAACATTCATAATACGATTATGGTTGACCAGATCTTTAGCAATGTTAAATATTATAGCTTGGTTATCGTACATCATTTTCATTGATTTTTTAATTTAGATGTTTATATCTTTGTTGAGATACATATATACATTTCTTTGATCATGTCAAATTTAAAACATCAACAAGTAATTTAATTATATTAGAAATATTATCTCAACTTTGAATTAAGTTTTCATATAAATTTTTTGCTTAAATTCTATAATAATTTTAAATTTATCTTAAATCTAACAAACTTAGCCAACTAATTATAGTTTTAAAATTCTAAAATACCTTAACCAAATTCAAAATTTATAGAAAAAAAAAAAAAATCATAACTCAATGCATATGCTCGCCCTTATATACTCACCTAATTATGCAATAAAGGCCGAAGTTCCAAAAGCCTTGATCAAACACCTGCCATTATATCTTAGAGGTTATCTAAGGCGATTAGCACACACAACTCATTTTGATTTGTTGGTTAGGAGTATCGGCTATTAACTAAGAGATAAACCCTTTGATCCGTGGGCCCCCCAATTTTTTTTTCATTATACAATTATTTGGGTAATTTGTCCATCTCAATCTGTTTTTTAGTCTTCATGTGTTTTAGGCAATTATTGCCCCCTCCCCTCCCCCTAAAATTTTTAAAATACTATGGTCTTTAAACAATTGCCCATAGTATAATTAAATATATTGGGTAGAGGTCGAACCTTGCAGGGGGCGCTGCTAGAGCCCCCTTAGACTCCCGACATATTTGCCAACAATTACTTATAAATTTGGCCCCCTTCAAACTTATGGCTGATGCCGCCCATGGTATGAGCTTTACTTAATTGGCCTAAACATCCGTCCTAGTCAATTGGTACACACTTCCAGACACCTTATCACCTCCAAACGCCAAAACTGCGAGCAAGCGAGAGAGAGAGAGGCTATTCTAGGTTTTGGCATATCACTCTTTAGTTCTACAACTCTTCTTCTCTAGTTAAAGATTCTCAACTCCAGCGAACGGAAACAAACAAAAAGGTCTTGGTCGAGCTAGTCCCCTACCTCTTCAGTTAATCGAAGGTTCATGTATCTCTCACACCAAGCTCAGTCCCCTTGGATTCTATAGATTGTTGCAGAAGGGATAGAGACGTCCAAGCTAGTGCGACCAAAGAGCTTTCCACGAGCCAATGCAAGGCTACCCTTTATTTATCAACATTTGACATGATTGAAAATCATGAACAGATTAATCCAAAGAATTTGATTCGATGAACTTCAATTTCAAAATGCACAGAGAATTT